GTTTTCCTCAGCGTTTGCAATATTTGTAATATCTGCACAAAGGAGACGTCGATCAGCTGCTAGAAGATCTCGCCTTTGGAGAAGACTATTAATTTTACACTTGAAAAATGTATTACTACTTAGAAGTTAAGATTACCCCAGAATGCATTGCTAGCCCACCCCAACACTTATGAACAATAATAATGATAAATGCTGACCAATAATTAGCAAAATGTCATTTGTTTTGTCATATGCCATAGCTATGCATGACTACACACTAGACAAACACAGCCAACGTGAATACATCTAAATTTTCAGTTAAGTAATGAATGAATGCACAAGTTAATGAAACAATTATATTTTAGTTACTGAAAACCGGAAACATTAATAAATGAGTAAAAATAAAAGTAACACTGACAATAAATAAATACAAGTCATCGACACATGAAACAAAGCTTTATTCAAACATTGTTCTAACAATCATGTATTTACAGACGGTGAGCCCACATCTACTGCATCTCACAAAAGCAGTCATTTTAACAGCACAATGTCATTTGATTTCTGTATTAGAAGTAACAGAATTATCTTATTTATATTTTTGTTTCAGGTTTTCCCTTTTTTTTTCCACAAATGCCGCCATCACCTTTCCTTGCAGGTCCTGCTCCACCACAAAAGCTCTGCAGCAAATGCACAGGAATCAAGAATCAGAAAAGTGCTGTGATAACTTTGTTTGAAATTACAATAATTAAAATAAACCTCAACTTAAGATTTAAAAGATGTTTTATTCATTTCTGTAGTATACTCACTCAAAGCCTTTGATGGCAGCATTCCGTTTTCTGGTGAAGAGGGCTTCATTAGCTGCTCTCCGCCGGATAAGCAGACGTGTGTGCTCATCGGTCCCTGTAACATCCAGACAAGAGTCAAGTTACCTCTGAGATTTGTTTGCTCAAAACTACATTTACATTCTGAGGTAGTTGATGTGTTAAGTAGCTTTTTATCCAACACAAACGTTCCTCAGTTTTTCAACAGTACTAATGGACAAATAAAATAGATTACTTATATTTAGTTACTTTATGGAAATGTATTTACATTACTGACATTCATCTATTGCAAACAGTGCTGACAACAGTGAATTGTACTACACAATAATACACAATAACACACATATACATCACTCAGATGTCTACTTCATATCTAGCACCTATTAGACATACTTCTATGAAATTCATATAGAAGATTTTCCTAACAGATATTAAATAGACATTTAGTAATCGTATTTAAGATGTATATGGTATAAAATGTATGTAAATCTACTTTGGAGATGTACGTGTGCTTCCTGGAGCCCCCGTTAGCTATACATAATAAAACGTGTTTATACAGCAACATCACAAACGTGATTTTGAAAAGTGGGGGGGACATGTCCCCCCTGTCCCCAGTGGAAATTACGCCCGAGTCAGCCAGTCAGTCTGGTGACTAGTAATATACTACAACCTAAGAAAAAAAAGATGGACAGTATTTTAAATAAATGTTTTTAAAATACGTATTTAATTACTTTTGAGTATTATGCAATTGGTATTTTGCTGGACAAAAAAAATCTGATGTAATTTGTAATTAAATACTTTGAGAGACAGTATTTTGTATTTGAAATACTTAATCAAGTATGTAATTTTATTCTCAGATAATACAATAACTTTCTTCACCTGTGTTAATAGTACTATGAACTATAGCCTATCAATTTTTTTGGCTAGTGAATCATATGACATCCTGTTGGATCGATAGATGGAGTCTTAATTTGCCCATTGTTGGATCCAACTGGGAAAAAAAAAAAAACACTGTGGAAGTAGTCCAAGTGTCACGCCCATGGACAGTCTTGTGTTTTGTTCCTCATGTTCTCTCCTTGACCCAGTTTCTCCCGTGTTTGTGCCCATATTTGGTTTTCCTGTTCCCGTTTGAGTTCCATTTGTTTCAGCTGTTTCCTATTAATCTCCTCCTTTAGTTCCAGGTGTTCCCCATTTAGTTCCTGTATTTAAGCCCTGTGTTTTCCTGAGTTCTGGTTTTGTTGTTTGTCAGCCGCCAATAAAATTTCAAGAAGAAGAGTCCTGGGTTCAGTCTCAAATGTCTACCCTGTGTGCTATGTGTGTGTTCCCTGTTATTTTGGTTTCATTAAAGAGTATTTCTGTTCTGGATCTCCTTCGTCTCCTCACAGTAGTGCCCCGTGACAGAAGACTGAACCGTATACAAGATGACAGAGGCTGAGGACAGGCTGTGGTGTTTGCGGCAGGCTGGTTGGAGGTTGGAGAGATATGTAGAGGAATTCCTTGAGCTCTCCAACCAGGTGCTGGCATGACGCCACTCTTGCTGCGTGTTTCCAGCTGGGGCTGGACGATGATACGATCTGCTGCGATCTCCCCACGTGTTGTTTTCCCCTGATCTAGCTGATTGATGTCGTCCTTTATTTAAACCGTTCCGATTTCTAAGTGGAAGAGGTAAAGGATAATTAAAGTCTCCTCATCCAGCCCCCTCTGGAAAACGTTGTGTCTCCCCAGCTCACCCCACGCCAAGAACCCCCACATACCTCACCAACGGCTCCGACCACCTGTTCAACCCAAGTTACCCCCGAGTTCTCTGAAGCTCCTCCTTGGTCCTCAGCCCAGAGCCGCTGGCCGCTGTACTCTCCAGGGATTAAAGTTCCGTCGCTACGACGGATTTTCTTCAGTTCATAAAGACAGTCACTTGCTTCATTCCTGAATGAATCAGCCGTTCGAATGAATCAATTGAATGAATGATTCAGTGATAAAATCAGTGACTTGCCGCAACCTGCTGGCGGATTTAGTTTCATTTTTAGCGTATAATTTCAGTTATTTAAATAATTTCTGTATTCAAAATGTTATATTTAAAACGTTAATCTCCACATGAATTTATTAATTTAATTGCACTCATGCTACCTCTAAGCCTCAACGTTTGAAAATGTATCTACAAACCACTTTTGTGTTGTTCTGTGCCACCTCTGTAGTACAAATTAATTTATTAATACTAATTTCATATGATTGGTAACTTATTTGTCTTATTCTACTTATTGTTATATTGCAGGGGTTAAAGCAAAAAAAAAATCTTTTGACTGAATTTTTCCTCGACCAAACCCCATTCCTCAACCATACCTGTCACACACCAAGTTTAAGAGCAGTTTTTTCTTCTTGTAATTAGGAGCGCTTGTCCTCCTAATTTAAAAATGTAGGAACACCTTATGATCAATAATCAAAAATTCTGATAAAAAATTAGCCTTCCTAATACGAGGTGACATTTGACTCCTTGAAGTGACTTACAGGAGTATTTTCTTTTTTCCTTTTGTAATGGCATCATTTTCATCTGTCAAATTCAAAAATTTCTATTTAAAACAATATGTAGATGTGATGACGGGTGCTAGGGTGACGTCATCACTAACGCGATAGCTGTAGTCTGTCTCTTTACATTTGCCGTTAATGTTTTTGTATTTCTGGTGACTATGTTGCAGTTTATGAGGTTTACAATATAACTATGTTTGATCTGGTTCATTATCCTTTAACGTTTATTTATAATACAGTTTAAGATATCATGCGGTTTGTGTTGATTGCAGATAGATGCACATATCAGTGGTCATCGCATCGTGTTATGTCTACCATAGTGATATGTCTACCCTATGATATATTTTCCCCCATTAACCACACAGATCATGCGGTTTGTGTTGATTGCAGATAGATGCACATATCAGTGGTCATCGCATCGTGTTATGTCTACCATAGTTCCCCTATGATATATTTTCCCCCATTAACCACACAGAGACAAGTTGTAGTTATGTGTTATTTATTATTTCAAGTCTGTATTTATCTCCACATTGCAAACAGTTACCTTGCATGCTGTGTACTCATCATATCCTGGTCCTGTGACTCCTCAAAGGAGGAGGCGGGACTACAGTTTTCCTTTTTCTTGTGTTGGGTTAAACCATTTCTACTAATAGGGAGGGGACTTAACCCTTGGTGATGTAGACATTAAGATATGTCTTATGATGTTGTTTACATTTTGCCTATGTTGAAGAATTGCATTTATGTTTTTATTTTATGTATGTTTGAAGTTTAATGGTCTAAATGGTTAAATGATCTTGTGTTTATGCTTCAAAGGTTTCTGGTATTGATGCCCCTGCAGTTGGTATGGTCTTGTGTGTAATGAGCCTGTCTTAGGCTATATAAGCCAGTCTAAACAGAACCTTATGAGGACAAGGTGGGGCATACTGCTTAAAGTGTCTGTAGATTTTGCTGCCTGTAGCAATTTGATTTCTTTTGTCATTTATACATCAAAGTGGGCACTGAGTTAAGTGTCTATTTATTATTTTTTTTATTTGTTTAGTTTTGTAATTTTGTTTGTATTATTTTTTTTTCAGTTACTGTGAATATGTACTCCCCTAGTTCTCAACTGGCATTTAATAAAAGTTATCTTTGGATATCGGAGTTCTGAGCCTATCTACCACCTCCCCTTGATCACCTCGGGACACGTTACGACAGTAGAATGAGACAAATAAGTTAAGAGAGTTAAAAAGAGTTAAGAGTCAAATGTCACCGTGTTAGGAAGGCAAATTTTTTATCAGAATTTTTGATTATTGATCAGAAGGTGCCCTTAAATTTTTAGGCTTGTAGGTACATTTTCAGACGTTTAATGCGGCTCAGAGGTGGCATGAGTGCAATTAAATTCATAAATTCATGTGGAGATTGTTTTAAATATAAAATTTTGAATACAGAAATATGATTCAAATAACTGAAATTATACGCTAAAAATGAACTAAATCCGCCAGGGCGGAATCATTCAGGAATGAAGCAAGTGACTGTCTTTATGAACTGACGGAAATCCAAAGTCAAGCCCGCCGGCCGCTGCTCTCTCAAGCCCGCCGCCCAGCAGTCAAGCTCAGAGAAACGGGCGCCAGCTCATGTCCCCGAACTCCTGGATATGGCACTTCCTCCTGAGTTCTCGGCCCCTATCATCTCTCCTGAGCCCGCTCCAGTGTCGGCTCCAGCCCCGGAGTCCACTCCAGAAAGGGCTCCAGTTCCCACATCCAGCCCTAAGGGGGTTCCAGTTCCCAGGTTATAGGGATCCGGCAGTAGAGGCCGGGCCGAGTGCCGAGGACAACAACATTGCAGCATTAATGTTTAATTTCTTCTCTATACAAGCATTTTAATGCTTGTCCACAATAGCTTGTCAAATGGACGTTTTTCTTTAAGACATGAAACATCTTTTACAGCACCGCTCAGCTCCTCCTCCGATGATCATTCCGTTTCAGCGTCTGCTCTATTGATAGTTTTCATGTGACGTCACGCCATTAGGGGAATGCCCCCCTGGTGGGCAAAACAATGCTATCTTCCGCTGCCCGCCAAGTCACGAACTGAGTGATTTCTTTCGTTTAGCGAAAATGCCGGATAGTTGTTGTGCAATAGGATGTACTAACCGATGAGGAGACAAGCCTGGGCTATGCCTCTACGGAATCCCGTCCGAGAAAGAAAATCCAGAAAGGAGGAATTTGTGGATTTGTGCCATTAAACGTGCCTCTGTCCCCGAGGAGGGCAAACAATGGCAGCCATCAAAGTACACTCGTATTTGCAGTGAACACTTCATCAAAGGTAAGCTCAGGTAAACACTGGATATAAATCATATCTTTGCGTAATCTTCTTACATGTTTGTTTTTGTTGTGGACTGAGGCAGTCAACTACAATGGTCTTGATTAGTTAATAGATAACGGTACACAAATTGTTAGCTAAAGTTAAAGGTGGGATGCTGTTAGAAGTAAATAAACTGAAAATGCAATGATTTGCAAATCCTATTGCGCCTTTATTCGATCATATGTACTACTAAGACAATATATACTTGTGTTCAGAAAGATAAACTTGATTGTTTTTCAATAATATAAACTTATGATGATTTCTCTTTTTATACACGTTTTACATAGCATCCAGATTTTTTGAAATTGAGGTTGTAATAAGATATAATTAAAGAAAAGGTTTACTTTCAGTTTGAATAGTTATCAGCAGTTGTTTATGGGAGTGATTGTTTAGCCAGTTTGTAGGAATGGTACTCATTTAACTGATTTTTTCCCAACTTGCACATAAACTTTCTTCTATTACTGTAGGTGCCAAATCTGATGACCCGTTGTCCCCTGACTGGGTTCAATCAGTCTTCTCACACACACCAGCCACAAAGAAGAGGAAGAGGGAGAAAGACATGGAGAGGTATGAGCAGCACAACAGAATGAAGAACAAGAGGGTTGAGAAGATGCAAGATGCAGTGGATGATCTCCTAGAATTGTCATCAGTGCCTGATGCTGAGCTGGCACCACCTGCTGAAGATGAACAACAGTGTGACAACAGACAATCCAAGGAAAAGTTTGAAAGATTGCAGAGGGAATGTAATGACCTTAGGGAGGAAAACCAAAAGCTGAAAGACAAAATTAAATCAGGAACTTTTGATGAACTAGCTTTTGAAAAAGACGATGAAAAAGTAAAAGCAATGACTGGAATCCCCACATATTCCAAGTTACAAGTAGTTTTGACATTTGTGATATCATTTTTGCAGACTGGTACAAACCTCTCTCCCTTTCAGCAACTGCTGTTAACTCTTATGAGGTTGAGAATTAACCTTTCCCTTTCATTGCTCAGTTGTATATTTAAGATCTCAATTCCAACTGGCAGCAGAACATTTCGGAACACGATTGAAGTGTTAAATGCGAGACTTGTTCCCGCACTTGTGTTTTGGCCAAATCGAGAAGAACTTCTCCCCATTACTTCTATGGTAGCTTTTGTCCTAATTAATAATTCAGATTTTTAGTATTTTTGTGTGTTGCTCTCATCTAGTATAAAGTTAATATGCATACCTGAGAGATTGTGGTGTGTTATTATTTGGGTTCTTGTAGGCCACAGGATAGCACAGCTTCTTCAGCAGGGAGACACAGTAGGTTTGTCTGTGTTAGTGTGGCAGGCTGCTCGGATGTTTGACGCAGTCACCCTTCCTGCCTTCTGGTCAAACCACATGGCATATTTTGACTGTAGTCTTGTCTCCCTTTCTATCACACAGCACTACAATTAAACAAAGTTGAGTTAACAAGTTTGTAATTTGTGACAAATATAAACAGTGATTGACATTTATTGAATAAACATCAGAAAAAGAAGACATTGTTTAATTTTGTGGTGAACTTGTTTTCAGCACTTGAGCTATTCTAAATACTTGTGCCTGTTATATTTCTGACATTCATATGTCTTCAATTCCTAAATCTATATTTACTGACTGACCCGTTTTAATGACTGACCTGTTCTTCTGTTATGCATAACCCTGTAAAGACCTCATCACTCTTTGCCTGCAGTTCTTGCTGTGACAGTGACCTGTACTCTGGCTTGTACATCTTGCTTATGGGGTGCAGGGATGTTCAGTTGCACGGCCCGAGGTACGTACCTCTTTGCATGGCCAGGGACAACAGACAAAATTGAACTCTTGACAGGTTCCTTTTCAGTGTCTTCTGATAAATGCAGCATATTGTAGAATGCTGTGCATTCATCTGGGTTTCGGGGTGGAAGCTTGGCAGGAGGAAGGTCACCACACCCATCAACAGATCTCTTTCTCTGGGCCTTTGTGAAAGCTATCTGGCTCCCTGGTGCATACCTACAGTCCAAATGGCTGCCAAACTAGGCTCATTCCAGACACAGGCTTCATCTGTGCATACAGTGCCACTCAGTTTGTTCACAGCTGCTTGCAAAGCATAAAGTATGGCACCTACATGTGAACACACCTCTCCTAATCCTGCCATACAGGTGCAATGGCCAAATCGCACCAGACCCTCCTTCTCCACAGCAACCCAGGCTGTCAGTGGGGGGTCGTTTAAACTGTAGGAATGATTTACCTGACATTGGAAAACAAATTTTGATTAGATTTATGCCATAATGTGTTAAACTAACCTGCAAAACTACTCCCCTACGACGCTGACTACAATGACCCTGAAACTAACGAACCATGGATTAATGTTAGCTAGTGTTAGTTAATTAGTACTTACCATTGTTTTGTAATGAAGAATTTCTTGTTCTTCACCTCCCAAACGGCAGCATTATTGACCCATCCCGATCTAAAGTACATAAGTCGGTACTTTTGTACACTTTCATCCTGGTGGCAGTGTAAGGTGAGGGATTCTCCACAAGATGGATGTAAACATCGCCGAAGTGGAGATCTGGCAGAGACCTGGCGGTTTTTAATGACTGAAATACGACGTGCTGTATATGGATCGCATGTGCCCAAAACCTGGCTCCCTGGTGCATACCTACAGTCCAAATGGCTGCCAAACTAGGCTCATTCCAGACACAGGCTTCATCTGTGCATACAGTGCCACTCAGTTTGTTCACAGCTGCTTGCAAAGCATAAAGTATGGCACCTACATGTGAACACACCTCTCCTAATCCTGCCATACAGGTGCAATGGCCAAATCGCACCAGACCCTCCTTCTCCACAGCAACCCAGGCTGTCAGTGGGGGGTCGTTTAAACTGTAGGAATGATTTACCTGACATTGGAAAACAAATTTTGATTAGATTTATGCCATAATGTGTTAAACTAACCTGCAAAACTACTCCCCTACGACGCTGACTACAATGACCCTGAAACTAACGAACCATGGATTAATGTTAGCTAGTGTTAGTTAATTAGTACTTACCATTGTTTTGTAATGAAGAATTTCTTGTTCTTCACCTCCCAAACGGCAGCATTATTGACCCATCCCGATCTAAAGTACATAAGTCGGTACTTTTGTACACTTTCATCCTGGTGGCAGTGTAAGGTGAGGGATTCTCCACAAGATGGATGTAAACATCGCCGAAGTGGAGATCTGGCAGAGACCTGGCGGTTTTTAATGACTGTGCTGTATATGGATCGCATGTGCCCAAAACTTTGCAGTTTGTCTTCATATCTTTTTTTTTTTCTTCTTTCGACAGGTAATCCAAATATTCGTAGCTTGAAACAGAAGGAAATCTGACTGGCTTGTCCTGCATTTCTACTGAGATCCCAGTGTAAGCCGCCATGTTGGCCCATTGTTTTGCCCGCCAGGGTACCGCACAGGTCACGTGACTGAAAACTATCAATAGATAGGATATGTATACGTAACTTATGCATATCTATGCACTAATGTCTGCGCATTCCCGTGCAAATATTTGCTGAACAGCGACCCCTGGTCACCGTTTTCGGTCAGGTCACCAATTTCGGCACACAGCAAAATGTTTAACAGTGAAATGACTTAAAGGGCTAATATGATGCGATTTCAATTTTTCCTTTCTCTTTGGAGTGTTACAAGCTCTTGGTGCATAAAGAAGATCTGTAAAGTTGCAAAGACTAAAGTCTCAAATCAATAGAGATATTCTTTATAAAAGTTAAGAGTAAAAAGACAGTATAAGTCATTATAATCCGTAATTATGTCCCCACTGGATGCAACAAATGCCTCATTTATAATGGGTTTAAATGTTTTTGTCTCGTCGCTCCGGCCGGTATGGTAAGGGGCGTAACATTTCTGTCACACACTTGATCACACACGCCAATCACAACGCACTGGATATCTGGCCAATCAGAGCACACCTAGCTTTTCAGACCGATGAGCTTTGTAA